TCCATCCATCCATCCATATGCCATTCCATCCATCCAATCATATCCATACAGCATAATTTGTGTCTCCTTGACTTGTTATCTCCATGTGGGCACCTACAATTAAGTATTTGTGTTCTATCTATCTATCTATCCATCTATCCATCCATCCATCCATCCTACTATTTCCCTCCTTATTAGCACTGATGTTTAAAGATGGTTCAGAAGTCAGTGCAAAAGTGTTGCTTTGTTTGTCAACTGCTAAATAAAAATCATATTTAAAGAAAGTCAAGTGTAAATCCACTGTAATCGGTATCCTCCTGTGACTCACCTGGATTAAACAAAACATTGTGACATGAAACCCGCTTGCGTGTTGCACTTTCCAGTTTAAAGGCAGACTTTTGTGTTACATAAGAGAAGAAACTAAACAACAGATGGTGAGCAGGCATTACTTTTCATTACTCATTTCACAGTTGACAGGCTCCCTCGGATGCATGCAAGGTCGTCTCTGAACGTAACATAGAACAGACATACTTAACAGTCACATGCTTGGACCCTTACAGTTCACACAGAATTTCCCCAGTGGCTTCATAAACCACCAAAAAATATGAACAAACTGAGTTTAGTGCACCTTCCCTTTAGATATGCATAGTGAACCATCATTTAAATGATTAAAACAGGATATGCAGTACCATTTATCTTACAAAATGGCTAATAAATAGAAATCGTTCAAATTCAGTCTGAGAACAAAGATACCTGAGCAAGATGCAAAGCTACGTGAAGAAAAATGCACAATGAGTCTGCTGCAAAAACCTGGTGACATGTTCGCATCCTGAAGGAAAAGAAACCTTTAACAAAAATGTAAAAGTGGCATTATTGCATTGCTGTCCTTTATTTTTACATGCACAGGAAATGAGTTTTTAAATAAGACAATGCATATAGATTTATATGTATATATAACATTAGATTTCATCAAAACAGCTCGCAGTGAGGCTTTGCTATTGTAAGGCACATTTAATTACCTGATAATTAACTCGGAAGGTAGTCGCTCCACTGAGGATGAGCAACAAAAACTCTGGATTTCCCTCCTAAATAAGATAAAGCTGTGTATTTATAATACACTGTGCATGATTAAATGCTCACTGAGCTTCAGCTTGTCCACAAAATAGAAATGTGAACTTCAAGGTTTTCTACCAAGAAAACAAACAAAATAAAAAAACTAAAACAACTCTAAGAAAAACAATGATCAACACTTGAACGGAATCTCCAGAGATCACAATCGTAAAGAACAACTACTCCATCGTACTATATTGTTATCAAATTGCACCTGTTCTTGCCAGCACCTCATCAAGCATCATTCCTTCTTTGTGCTGTAAGTTAAGTCATAATTCTTTGTCCCTGCTTTCCTCTCTCACAACACAAGTGATCTCATAAGTTAAAAGCTACAAGTATAAGATAATGTATTCCACCTGGAATCCTTATGGTGCTAACACAGGTAACATTTTCTGCATGCAATCAAGATATTAAAACTTGTGACTCCAGCAGGACTATGCACTAGATGCTTATCGTAAATTACATTTTTTTTTTTTTATTAAAGTGAAGTAAAATTTAACAAGATCTCTCGTCCGTCTGTTTTGGGTGAAGCCGGCCTGGAGGCGGTGACCGAGTCTTGACTTTTCCGTCTTGCTTTTGGAGAGGACGCTGGCGGCAGTGAGAGTCTTTTTACTGACAGCAGCCTGAGGATCTCGCTCACCTGAGCCTCGAGCAGCGACAGTCTCCCGCTCAGTATCTGAATGTCTGCTTTCAGCTCCAGCTTGGCCGCGTGGAGCGTCGCTTGAAGCAGCGCTTGCTCAGACAGCGGCTGCACGAATGAGTGTCTGAGGGAGACCTCGGCGTAAACCCCGAGGCTGTGCTCGAATGGATTTCTCTCCATGGGGCTCCTTTCCATCGGGCTTCGCTCGAAGGAGCTTCTTGAATCTCCTGCTCGGTCGATGCGTGGATCGCTCTTTGTGATACCACTGTCGCAGGAGTCGGTAATTGGAGGGCGCATTGATCCTAGCCTTCGCCTCTGCTCCAAACCCCTGCCTCCTGATTCGTGGTCGTTTGAGGGACCCAGAAACTGACGAACTCTTATGTTACTGTCAGGAGCGTGGATTTCTGGGCTAAACTGTGATTCCCCATAGAACAGTGCTGTGCTGATCGGCTACACGCACCCTGACTCAGTACGTGCATATTCAAGACTGGTCAATCTAGTGACTAGCGACATTCAGGCAGCACCCTACACTGCTCGAAGAGTAGCTATCCTCTGTCTACGACTAAGAATAGATCGTGCTCCGGTCTCAGCAGCTATGTGAGGTTTATCTAAACTTTGCCCAGCCTCTCACACCTCTGCCGCTCCCTGCGTTACCCTCTCCACCTGCACCACTGCTCTGGCCAAGCCGGCTCTCTGGACAAGGCTTTGATGCAGACCCCACCGCCTCCATTGTGAGCCTTTGCTCTGACTTTTCAGGCATGTTGCAATTGTTCCCCCCTCCTGCTGAGGTGTTCTCCTGCTGCTGCTGAGGAGATGCTGAGTGACTGGGCTGAGTGTAAGAGTTTGAGTCAGTGTGGTGCTGGGGGTGCTGCTGCATCTCCACCTGCACGCAGTTGTGATCTAAGTAAGTGTTGGACTCTCCTGTTTGAGCGTCTCTGTGCTGTCTGAACTTCTGGAACAGCTTGCGAACCGGGTGGTCTTCGGGAATCGACAGAGTCACGTCACTCTGATGCGCCTGCTCCCTCCTCACATCGGCAATCTTCCTGAAGATGACCTGCAAGAGGGAGAGTGCGTGCATGAGGACACTGATACAGGACACACTGTAAATTGTAACTTACAGTGTGCATGCTCTAGTGCTCGACCTGGACGAAGCAAGTTGTACAATGTCCGTATAATGCAGCTTCAAAGCAAGGACAGCTGCCTGCAGCTGTTGTGAATGCTGAAATATTTATGAGCTGAAAGCTGTAATGCACAAGGGAAACCGTTAATGGAGCAACAAGTCAATAATGGAGGACAATTTAGGCTCTGAGTCTTTCCTGATTCCTTCTGAAGACAAAGAAAAGAAATGTCAATAAACTCCAAGCGTCTCACTACCTTCCGATACCACTCTGGTAGAAACTTTCAGTGCTGGTGTACCTGAGAAGTTAATCTGTGAAACACTTACCCCCATGAATCCCAGGTTAAAGCCCACTGTGTACAAAGCTCCCACTATTTCAACTGATATATTAATAGTGTAATAGTTAGCATCAACTTCTTTAATATCATTTTTGGATTTCTGAAATATAGTTTATCTCCATTAAATATACACTCAACAAAAATATAAACGCAACACCTTTGTTACTGCTCCCATTCCCCATGGGATGGACGTAGAGACCTAAAATTCATTCCAGATACACAATATAACCATCCCTCCCAAACAGTGGTCACAAATCAGTCCAAATGTGTGGTAGTGGGCACATCTGCCATATTGAGATAATCCATCCCACCTCACAGGTGTGCCACATCAGGATGCTGATCTGACATCATGAGTAGTGCACAGGTGTACCTCAGACTGCCCACAACAAAAGGCCACCCTGGAATGTGCAGTTTTGTCTCACAGCAAAATGCCACAGATGCCACAAGCAATGAGGGAGCGTGCAATTGGCATGCTGACAGCAGGAATGTCAACCAGATCTGTCGCCCGTGCATTGAATGTTCATTTCTCAACCATAAGCCGTCTCCACAGGCGTTTCAGAGAATATGGCAGCACATCCAACCGGCCTCACAACCGCAGACCTCGTGTAACCACACCAGCCCAGGACCTCCACATCCAGCAGGTTCACCTCCAAGATCGTCTGAGACCAGCCACCCAGACAGCTGCTGGAACAATTGGTTTGCACAACCAAACAATTTCTGCACAAACTGTCAGAAACCGTCTCAGGGACGCTCAACTGCATGCCCGTCGTCCTCATCGGGGTCTTGACCTGACTCCAGCTCGTCGCCGTAACAGACTTGTGTGGGCAAATGCTCACATTCGATGGCGTCTGGCACGTTGGAGAGGTGTGCGCTTCACGGATGAATCATGGTTCACATTGTTCAGGGCAGATGGCAGCTGAGAATGTCCCAGTTCTTGCATGGCCAGCATACTCACCGGACATGTCACCCATTGAGCATGTTCGGGATGTGCTTGACCGGCGTATACGACAGCGTGTACCAGTTCCCACGAATATCCAACAACCTCGCACAGCCATTGAAGTGGAGTGGACCAACATTCCACAGGCCACAATTGACAATCTGATAGACTCCATGCGACGATGTGTTGCACTGCATGAGGCAAATGGTGGTCACACCAGATACTGACCGGTTCTGGGTCCCCAGACCCCCAATAGCGCAAAAAACTGCACATTCCAGGGTGGCCTTTTGTTGTGGGCAGTCTGAGGTACACCTGTGCACTACTCATGATGTCAGATCAGCATCCTGATGTGGCACACCTGTGAGGTGGGATGGATTATCTCAATATAGCAGATGTGCCCACTACCACACATTTGGACTGATTTGTGACCACTGTTTGGGAGGGATGGTTATATTGTGTATCTGGAATGAATTTTAGGTCTCTACGTCCATCCCATGGGGAATGGGAGCAGTAACAAAGGTGTTGCGTTTATATTTTTGTTGAGTGTAGATTAGAAAACCAATGTAGAAGACAGCTACTAATGGGCTCGGCTGCCCATAAGTAATCTACAAAATGTCTAGGACCTGTTATGTTATTAAACATGCAAAGAACTCTTAAGTCACTGCTTATTTCTTTATATTTTGCTTTAAAGAAGTCAGACTTCCCTATTATTATTTTTTCAAAGTGCTCTTGAGTAGTGTCTCTCCAGGCTTGGCTGCTTGTTTACTCATTTTCAGTCCAGTACTTGTACACAGGATGTTAAGCCACTTCAACATGTCCTATGAATCATTCATGTTAAGACCTGACACAGGACCTGAAAGATGCATCTGGCCCTTCAATGTTGACTGAAGCCTCCTCAGAAGTGGCCTCAATGGAAGTGTGTTTGTCAAGGAGCCATTCTCAAGGAAGTAAAACTGAGGCTGAGGTATGCCAAATTACACGAGGACTGTGCTGAAAGTCAGTGGCAATGGTCCCAAACACACTGCCAATGCAGTAAAAACATACCTGGATAGACAAAACACACCATCAAACACTATCAGCATGGATTGGCCTCCCCAGAGGCCCGCACTTCAACATTATTGAAGCAGTGTGGGATCATTTTAACAGAAAACTGAACTAAAGGCAGCCAAAATCCAAAGAAGAGCTTTGAATTTCCTTCAAGAAGCCTGGAGACTGAAGACTACTTAAGAAATAACAAGAAAGCTTGTCTGAGAGAGGCCGTGTTGAAGAATAAAGGTGGTCATACCAAATACTGTTTTTAAAGCTCATTAGGAATTGTACACACTCTGTTTTTGCCTCATATACTGTATACTGTCCATGTATGTTTGCACAGGTTTCAATAAACCACTGCACCTATTTCCCATTTTCCTAACAAAACATAAAGAAATGAAGAGGGCTTGAGACTTTTGCAAAGTCCAAATACCTGCCACAAAACTGTGCCAATTAATATTTACTACACAGCACTTCCAACAATTGCTCAAACATTCTTAAAAGGCTGATCTGCTTTGTTACAGCCAGAGTTTGAGCTGTTATGAGTCTGTTTAATTCCTTCAAATTTTTTAAACCTACATCCTCAAAAGTATTTCATACATCTCAGTCCTGAACAAAGAACACAACAGACTACGTGCCCTGGGATGACTTGACGCGATATGAACATCCATTAAGAACTTAAAAGATAGTATTACAGCAGAATGTATAAGAAACCTACTCTTGTGGCTGGAAAGCAAAGCATCTCCGTGCTGTAGTGGGATCAATATGTGTAGCCAGGAGAACCTTTATGAAATATTAGAGCCTTAGTTTGGACCGGCTAATTGTTCGGCTTTGAACTAATTTTTTGTCACTGTCCTTTTTACAGATTGGGGAAATTTGGATGGAGACAGTGTGCATGTGCTGATTTATTTACATTTATCCTCTTCACATTTGAGCTGTTCACTCTCAGTTTGTAATTTGATAAAAAAGGCTTTCTGAGCGGTCGATACAAAGACAATGTGCTATATATATATATGTATATATATATATATATATATATACAATCCATTTACCATTACACACTTTATGGAAAACTGTATACAACTCTGCATTGCACTCAGGTATTCCATGCTGCCTAGCTCAAGGCCACAGCACATGTTGTATGAATGAAGTCTCATCTGCAAAGAAGGGATTTGATTCTAATTTTTGATTCTAAAATTTGGCACAAACACCATTTCTTTCTCTATTTCTCCTTTTATTTTAAATTTAATGATCATTTAAGTACTAAACACACATATAGATATGTGTGTTTAGCATATGCATGGCAAGACATTACAAAATGCTTTGCAATACAAACAAAATAAGAAAAAGTGTTTTTTATTCATACTGTCAGTTGGTGAAAAGTTGTGGTTATAGATGTTCCTGTGCACTGGGTTTGGTTGCTCAGCTCTTGATGATGTAGGAGTTTGTAGATGGAGAGTTTATGTTGTAAAGAAGCAGGTTTGGTTGTATTGCATTTGTTGTAGATTGTAAAGACTGATTCACTTGCAGTCCATTGCACCTCGGTAATTTTAGTAGTGTAATGTACAATGTTGAAGTCCAGCTGGGTGGGAGCTGTGCACCCTGTTATCTCTTTTGCCTATGACAACAAAATGCAATCAGTAATCCCTTGCTTTAAGATGACACTAACATCCTTTACTAAAAGACAGGACAGTGAAAGTTTTACCCGTTTTCGCAAATTACAGGTGAGGATGAGGTTGCGGGAGAAAGAATTGGCGAACGCGGTGTAAAACTCCAGCACCCGCATCAGAGCCTCTCTCCGGATGACGTGCAGGTCGCAGTACGTCAGAGCGCGCACATTCGCACAGGCTCGAGCCAGCGTGGTCTCTTTCCAGAATGCATCTCCAAACACGTCACCTTTACCTGAACAGGGCCAGATATCATATAAACATCTGTTGGCTCAGATAAATATAAATAAAATGGGATAAAGTCGAACACATATAGGTTGTAAAGCATAAAAAGGACTTCAGAAAACTTTGCTCTAACTTCAACTGAGAGCAGCAGGTACAACTTTGCTTGGTCTATTTCACAATATTGCCCTGGATTACCTAGTATTGCGATGACCTCATCATCTTGGATGACTTCGAGTGAACCCGAGACTACAAAACAGAGCGTATCAACGCTCTCCCCGATGTGGAAGATGAGGTCTCCAGGTGCACAGTGTGTAGTCTGAAACTCCACGGCGAGAGAGCGCAAACAGCCGTCACTTGCCAGGCGAAAAGCTGGATGGTCATTGAACACCTGTCTGTTGAGGTGGACGCAGATGTCTGCACGCATGTCTTTAGGACAGATGGAGAGAACCTGAAAGACATGGTGAGATTTGTGCAGCAAACACTTAATGCATCATCACTGGAGGACATTAAATATGTAGCACATTTCCGCTGCTCATTTAGCAGATGTTTTACTAAACGTTTTAAAAATAGAACTGCAGAGACATGAAAGCTGCTTCTTTAAATAATCTTTAAACTCCAGATGTTGGACCATGTGATCTGATTTACTTCATGAGAACAACAATGGTAATGTTGTTACTGACTGCATGGACTGTAGAAGTTCAGGACCTAAAAGGCAGATATGGGAGGCAGGCAAGATTTAACCAAGGGCATAAACTTTAAATAGGTTTTTGGGAAAGCCAATAAATGAAAACATGAAATCCAAAAGATAAATCCCCCCCAGCAGATGATTAGGGCTTCACAGAGCTGAGATCTCCACATTGTAGTGTCAGTCTGGCATTAAAGGGACAAACAGAAATAGCTGAGGAGCCTAACTTCATGGGACTATCCTAAGATCTCCAACAAGTACCCTGGCAAACTGCATTGGTATGTATCTGACAAGTAATGGCACATCCGTTTTTGAAAGCACCCCCTGAAACTTTTGCACAGATTTGTACCTTGTCTGTGTCAATGCCCTTCGACATGGCCCAGGTGGAGACGATGAAGTCCATGACCCTCTCGCTCAGACCTTTGGGAACCTGGTAAAGTTTAAGGAAGTCACGCACATTGTTGAGCATCTCGTGGTAGCGATTTGTGTTGGTGTACATCTGCTGGAAGATGGTGGTGACGTTTCCAAAGATTGTGGCATATAGCAGCGCTAAAAGAAAAGACGGAAGAGCAAGAGTTCATCTTATTTATTCGAATCTAACGTTTTCATTCATCCGCCTTCTTACGCTTATCCGAGACATGACCATCTCTTCCAGCTCATCTGGGGGGACAAGTCATTCTCAAGCTAGCCAAGAGAACTAATCTCTCCTGTGAGAGATAAATGCTTTTAGATAACAAATAATCATATTTATGGGATCACAGTATCCAACTTTCATACCTCAAATTTAGAGTTAAATATTGTTGAGGAAACTGCCTATGACAAAACATTTCAGTGGAATATATATGTGACTAATGGAGTATTTAACACGAAAAAAAATTTATATTTGGATTAAAGATTAAATAATTAATTGAGATCTAATCCAAAACTTTATTCCCTTAATTTTTTCTGCTTGTCCAATTAAGGGTTAGAGTCCCAGCTGTTATAGAGCAAAATTCCAGGTGAGGTTACTGGTTTATGACGGGAAAAAACCGGAGCATGCTGATATTTAACTGTCCTTTAAGTGTTTTCCACGCTACCGGCTTCCACACAACCACGTGAAGACTTTTTCCCTCCAAATGACATTCTAGGAACAAACCAGCTCATCTACTTGCCTTTCTAGACCTTCGGGGACTTTTGTGACTTGTCATAAGGTCAAAGGTCATTTTTCCACCTGATGAGGAGTTAACCTGTAGACCCTGTTCATGCAGAACAGTTGCTCCTCCAGGCCACTCTGAGGGAAATCTTGTTAGCGCTCATCTGCAGTCGTATGGCTGGAGTAAGAGTACAGCACCATCAAAGACTCTTCTTTTTTCTTTTTCTTTTGATAATCACCAAATTATGCCATTTGATTATGATTGCTCAAACCTTTGCTTGCCTCTCTTTATCACAATCCCCTGATTTATACATGACTAACACTTGATCAATGATGCTGTAATTACATAATCGCTGGTGCACAAATGAAAGTAATTTTAAGATTTCAAAGATTTTACAGTGATAGAAAAACGAAAACCTTAAAAACAGTGTGGATGTCCATCTGACGTGATGCTGTATAAGCACTACAAGCATATAATCATTATATCTTGGTTCTACAATAATATAGTACTGTTTGCATTTTACATTTTGGATAAACTCTTTAGTGAATTTTATTTATTTGTTTTTAATAATTTTGTTTGTTTTGTTTTGTAATTTACTGAAAAGTAAATGTACACAAAACAGCACTGCTGACAGTGCAGTTTTCTTAAATACATGCATGCATAGCCTGATATACACAACGAGGGATGGGCTAACTCTTTATGATATCATTTCTAATCCACAGTTCCTGGGTAGGAGTGCCGTGCTGCAGTGACCTCAAAGAGTCACTCAGCATCTCTTACTGTGAGGTTTTATCCACTCAACGGGAAAGCTTCATCTCCGGTCACCACAGCAGGATCACAGAGGTTAGGATACATATCTAACGTGATGGCTCATTGTCCACTTACTACACCCGAGCCTGCAGGCAAACTGGCCCTCTCTTCGATTCCTTTTCCACTCAAATAATTACCGTATCTATAGCAGGAGATTTATGCGCCATAATTGAAGCCGACACTGCAGTGTGACTGAATGATCATCGTGATCCAGGCGCCATCAGAATAATGGGTGTTTACTTTCGACTGTACGAAGCTTGAAGCGTGGCTGTCACTTTCTGTGTTCTCACTGGTTTTATTGCATCACTATACATGCTGTTTTAGAGGGTTGGGCCAAAGGTTAGTGCACAAAGGTGAGTGATGACCAAGGTACTGTAGAGGCACTGAGATCAAAGGTGAAGCTATTACTCTGTCTGCAGTGTGTGATGAAAGCAGCAAACAGGCTGGAGTAAAAATAGGCCTTTCTATTTTGGTGAATTGGAACCACAAAAGATTACTAAGACACCAAAGATATAACTTAGAAACCACTAATGTAGTTACAGTACTAAGTTCTAGATAGTTTTGAAGTTAGCTAAGGAATATGGCGTGACTTATACGTAGACTTATATAACATAATGCATCATTTCTAAGTTCATGTTATAAGCTTCATCCTCATCAATTTGACAGTCGTGTCCCATTAAATACTGAAAGTCACGCAACACAGGGAATGTAAAGAACAAATATCTGTATTTGCTGAAAATTTAAGGGTAATTTGGGAATAAATGAAGTCTTTAACTTTGACTTTCTTCATGAAGTTTCTACTGACCATGAGAAATACAGAAGAATGCAATGACATTTATTCCCTGCATTGAAAAAACGACTGACTGAATTAACATGCAATACTTTTCTGATGTGACGACCGGCTCTCAGACAGACATTCACAGAGCAGGCTGTGATGGGCGCTGAACATGTCACTTTTGATTATTGACAAAGCCGAAACTCAGAGTGGTTCAAGCACCGAGGCTGCAGCTAAACGTGAAACCATGACCAGAATGAAAAGAGGAAAATGTTGTCTGTGGATCATTTAGCGCTATAAGGAATAAATACTTACTTCACTTTCTGAATATTGAATTCTGTCATTATCGAAATGTGATTTTAAATAATAATTAACTGTCCGTTTGGTCAATTAGGGTGGCAGGTACAGATAGACAACCTATTTACATCCCTGATTTAGAGCATGCTTCCAGGCCTTTAGGAAGAGATTTTCTACTGAAAATGTTTTTCAATGGTTTAAATGGATGTTTAATTGATGTTTCTGTGACGCTAATACACACACCAGCCAATCACATGACACCAGCTCAGTGCATTTAGGCATGTAGTCATGGTCAATTTGATGTGCTGAAGTTCAAACTGAGCATCATGATGGGGAAGAGAGGCGATTTAAGGGAATGTGGTGTGGTTATTGGTGCCAGACGAGCTGGTCTGAGTTTTCCAGAAACTGCTGATATAGTGGGATTTTCTCCTTCAAACATCTCTAGAGTTTATAGAGAATGGTCTGAAAAAGAGAAGAAATCCAATGAGCGACAGTTCTCTGGGTGAAAAGGAAAATTTTCAGGGCACACTTTGAGCCGCTCAGTCTACATGAGTATTGTTGCTGACCATGTCCATCCCTTTAGGAACACAGTGCACCCATCTTCTGATGGCTGCTTCCAGTAGGATAACACATCCTGTCACAAATCATCTCAAACTGATTTCTTGAACATGACAATGAGTTCACTGTACTCATAGCCACCATATCTCAATCCACTAGAGCACCTTTGTTATATGGTGTAATGGGATGTTCAGGTGTCAAATCTGCAGCAACTGTGTGATGCTATCACGTCAGTATGGTCCAAAATCTCAGAGGAATGTTTCCAGCGCTTTGTTGAATCTATTCCTTGAAAAATTAAAGCAGTTCTGAAGGAAAACAGGGGCCCAGCTCAGTCCTAGCAAAGTATTCCTTAATAGTGTCCACTGAGGATATGCACATTAAAAGGTTAGGAGGAAGTTGCAATAAATAAAGATAAATGGTTCAAAAATATTTTGTGAAAACTAGAAATTCAACTGATTTGCAATGTTTCACTTTCACTTTGTTGAAAATGTAAAAAGAGACAGCAAAGTCAACTCTGCCATGAAATTTTTCAATAGTGGTTGCATAAATATATTAGTGTCTAAGCAAAGTCATCTCTAAATACATCAGTAATGCCATACACTATGTTAACTATGGGAAAAAGCAGCCATGTATTGATCACAGCGTGCTGGGACTTAATATCCTGCACAGATCCTCATGTTTTAGAACATGCGTACCATATGTTGCTTTACTGGCAGCTGGTAAATAGCCAGCAGGACTGTGGAGAGCACGTTATCTTGACTAGCGTGCAAGGAAGTGTAACCAGACTGTTTCATCTCCTGCAAGGTTCAACTACCATATTATGAATGGATGAATGCACGAATGACATCAAAGTATGTATGCTTTGTTTAGTGTGGAGTGATGGGGAGACAGGGCTGTTTTTGTTGTTACAGAGCTGTTGTTCTGGTAAACTTCACCCACAAATGATGCTACTGAATATGGTTAAAACATCCTTTCCCAGCTCCAAGTACAGTTTAAAACTCATGGATCGTTCCATTATATGGCTGTATTACTCACATTGTGGCTGCTAGTTAAATGTTTCCTGTGCCATTTTCAAAGGTTTTGTGAAACCTTTGGAGAAACTGTTAAATGTGATGCATGTTGGAAATACAGTGTGTGGTGACTGGGTACTCACAGCCCACCATCATCATAGCCACGGAGAAAATCTTCTCGCCATCTGTTGTTGGAGCAATGTTACCAAATCCAATGGTGGTCAGGCTAGTCATGGTGAAGTAGAGAGAAGAAATGTACAGCGTGTCTTTGGTAGGACCTCCTTCCCACCGGCCATTACCGCTAGTGTTGTAGCGGTAAGGAGTTCCAATACTCAGTGCCAACTGGTAGAGCCAGCTGTCTGTCTTAATGGTGTTGGTGGTCTCATCAATGACCTCGTGGTCACCAATGCTGTACCAAATGCAGGCAAGCCAGTGAGCCACCAGGCCGAAGACACACACCAGCAGGACCAGGACTGCAGCTCCATACTCCAGGTAGTGGTCCAGTTTTCGGGCTACGCGGCCCAGACGGAGCAGGCGGATGACTTTAAGGGAACTGAAGAGGCTGCTGAGACCCTACAGAGAAAGAAAGTGAAAATGTGAACCAGATATCCAGAATAAAACATACAATACATTGTACATTGTACATCAGATGAAAGCTGCATTATTATCTTATGTTAAAAATTTACACTGGTTTTCATGATTAAAATGATTTCACCTTAAGAGAAGAAAATATCTGTCAAGTCAATAAAACAAGTTTAGAATGTGTAAAATCATTAAAAACAGAGGATTCATGTGACTGGTGGAAGACAATCCGAGAGAGTATGGCAACTTAAAGAGGTGCGCTTTGAGAGGGAACTCCAGAGTTTAGGAGCAGAGCATCTGAAAGCTCACATTGTATTCAGTTGAGGGGAAGGGACAGTGAGATGGAAGGAAGAAGAGTGCGAATGGGTGTGTTGATGTGCAGAAGTTAAGAGTGGTACTGCAGAGCGATGTTGTGGTCTCAAAGGTGATGAGCAGAATCTTGATATCATTATGATATGATATTAGCCAAAGAAGCTGCTGATGGGCCTGTATGTTGTGACTAATGGAGGCAGTTCTGGTAATGATCCGAGCACCAGGAAGAGAGAAGACCTGAGAAGAGTCGTCAATAGGGAGGGAAACATTTACATTTACACAAGGTGGACTGGTGTCAGTGAGGAGAACCTTGGTTTTATCACTATTCGATTTGATAAAGTTTACAGGAGTACCAGGATTTGATTTCCTGGAGGCAAACACAGAGAGCAGTGGTACGAAAAGTGGTGGAACATTTGGTGCACAGGCAGAGCTGCATGTCATCAGCATAACATTGGAAACTGATATTAAATCTATGGAAGACATCCCAGAGGAAGTAGACAGATGATAAATAAAAGAGGCTCCAGGACAGATCTCTGTGGGATGCCAGTGAAATTTAACATTTCACTGACTCCACCTTGTTTTTTAAAAACTTTAATGTGATCATAAGGGGTAGGTACAAAAAAAACAAGGGCCATATGGAGGTTTTGCAGTCAGGTGACCAATAACCACGTGACATTAACTTGCCCACGATTTTAAACATGTGACAGTCATGGTGATGATGTAGAATCAAGTGAAGAAGGCCACAGTAACACTAGATACTGGTCAAAAATCATATGGGAACCACTGTTGGTGAAGGGAAAAATTAGTATTCCCTTACTGGTTGTGTGTGGTTGGTCACTCGCTTTTACACCTAAGACCATTTTAGAATCATCAATAAACCTAACCCATTCATGTCTTTGGATAGTGGGAGGAAGCCCCAGCCTCCTCCTGGATTCAAACCCAGGACCTTCTTGCTGTTAGGTCACGGTAAACACTGGATTTTGTAGATATCATTGTTGACAATACTAATGTTCTGGGTGAAAAACTCAAAACAAAGAGCTCAAAGACTCTGCAATGTGATTATTCAGTGTGGTTTTGTCACCATAAGGGATCGATAATATGACCTGATTTCCATCCATTCATCCATCCAATTTCTTCCGCTTATCCAATTCAAGGTCGCGGGGCGGGGGGGCTGGAGCCTATCCAAACTGTCATAGAGCAAGAGGCATGGGACAAACCATATTTATCACAGCATATTTAAAGAAATACAGAAATTTACTTACTGGGAGAACGGAGTCTTCAGTCCGTGTGCTATTTCTGTGGAAATGTGACTCACGAAGATGACCCGTGGAAGAGGCATGTGTGAGGATATCCTACATTAAAAAAGAACAGTAAAGCAGAAACGTTTTAATGTATACGTGGAAAGACATACCATTGTCTGAGCAATTAATCCCGCATTAAAAGAATTATCTTTATTAAAGTTTACTCACATCATCACCGTTTTCAAAGGCGTTGATGATATCATAGGGCAGGCAGGACAGCAGGTCGATGACAAACCACGTCTTTAGGTAATTCATTCTTATGAGCTTGGCATCTGAAATCACCTCTCCAGCTGGACCCACAAAGGTGGTGTGGAAGTTGAGCACAATGTCAACCAAAAAGATGACATCGACAACACTGTCCACAACCAGCCAGGCCAAGTTGTTCTGTTTGGTCCTGAAGGAAACATTATAGGGTACCATGATGGCAGTGTAGAAGGTGAGGATGAGGATGATCCAGTCCCAAGTGGTCTTGAAAGTGCAGTAGTGGAGGATGATGTGTGGAGGGGTCTTAGGGGCCTCCTGCTTGTACTGAGGGAGAATGTCTGATCCCAGCTGGAGAGCCTTTCATTGAGAGGAAACATTTGCCGTCATGATACAAGAACCTCTAAGCCATATTTAAAAGATACAGATTCTAGAAAGAAAATTCTGGGTCTTGCTCACCTCAGCCAGTCTGGAGGGCTTGTGGCTGACCTCCGACTTATTGAGTGGTGTTAACTGCTGCACCAGGTTTCGATTGTTGGCCAGTGCTCGTGTGAGCCTGGCAAACTTTGTCCACCCTATCCACAGACAGCAACACAGAATGCACAGGAAAACAACACGGCATCCGGCATTATTTAAGAATTAAGAAACATTTAAGAGCATTTAATGTTAAGATGTTTACATTTTACTGGAGTTTATGGGAGTATTAGGTGACGTTGATTTTCTTTGTTAAATGGGCAATAGATATCTTTTGACTTGAACTGAATTTGTGCAGTTGGATAAAAACACCATCTGCGTTTAGACTGGTTGCCTACTAGCCTTGCTTTAACTGTGCACTGCTGTCTGCTACCTGCCACAAGCACGACTGCTCAGCCAAAACAGGAAGAGGAGAGAGCATTTGTTTCCTGCTATATGAAATTAGGAATGTTCACAACACTTCAACACTTGGAAACTTTACCCAGCAAAAGAAAACCTGGTCCACTCCCAGAGGAAGCACAGAAGGAAAAGACAAGTGACAGAAACTGAAGGAAAAATAAAAGTGATCCCAATTTCAATTGACATTATTTCTACAAGATTTATAATAAACAAGTCCCGTGTACTTGCATCGACTAAATCAAAGAATCTCTATGTGCTTGTCTCTTTTTCATCTGTTTTGACAAAGAGTCAAACTTTGAAGGTATCCTGTTACATACACAAACAAGTGTGGCGCCATATTTGAAGTCAGTTGCATGAGGGGCGGTCTCATTTTCTTTTTGTAATTTTTCCCACAGTGTTTTGTTAGCCGGTGAATGGAAATAAACAGGTTTAGGCTCTCACCTGTTGATTAGTATCACCATTATGTTGGTATTGACCGAGTGCACCATTCAGTGCTGTGACATCATGTCTGATCAATTACGTCTCAGAGATGTTGGGGATTATCTTACTACAAAAATTTGTTTTTGTTTTTGTTTGTTTTTTACATTTTTTCCTGCATTTTTGCAATTGTTATGATCTGTCTCTTTTCACATTCTCTCTATGTTTTGAATTTTCACGTACTACCTTAGTTTCTTATTTTTTGTCTTTTAGTTCTTTGTTATAGTTTCTGTATATTATGGTCTATTTGTTTTATTTGTTCCTCCTACTTTCTTGTGTCTATGTGTCCCTGTTTAGTTATAGCTTCTCACTTCCTGTTTTAGTTTGGCAGTTATCTGTCTCCTAAGTCTTGTTACTAGCTTAACTTTTGTCCTCTTGTCTTGTTGTCTGGAATTGATTCGGCTGTGCCTTGTTACCCCTTTGTTTCCACTTTCTCTGATTACCCTGATGTGTATAAATAGTCCTGCCTTTGCTTTCCCCTCAGTCATTGTCTAAGTCTCTATGTTATCTCCCTTGAATGCTCCCTGTTAGTTTTTTTTTTTAATTATTATTTCTACTGGCTCCTTTCTTCAGATTTTTGGTGACTTTATTAATGGACTTTGAATTCAGTTTTTTTTTTTTTATAACAATCCTAATAAACGGTTAATTACGTCAGTCTCCAGCAACTGCATTTGGGTCCACTCCTTAAATGCACCATGCATATTGCACCGCTGCAGATTCATGATATAAATAAATCCTGACTTGAAAAATATTTAACTATTAATATATGAATAATAATATAATAGTATATAAAAACAATCTTCAGAAACCTGCCACACCCTTTTTTACCTCTGTGAAACAGGATTATTCATACAGCTACCTTCTCCTTGTGCCCTCACTGTCATTTAATTCTGCTTGGTGTATGGAAAAAGTCTCTGTGGCACAATTAATCCCCAGGGATATGGCACTGCATAGACTCACAGAGACCACTGTTCACTGACCCGGACACACAACACCTGGACAGTTGTATGTTACACACCAGGAAACTAATGTCTTATAAGTCAAAGCCACTCATGTGCAATCAAAATCTATAACACTCCTTTGTCTTTAATTGTAATGGCTGGACCTTTAGCGATAACTCCAAAGCTTTCAATGTGAAAATCCCAGAAATACAATGAAATACAGAATACTATCAGGTGGAAATTATTGGTACAGTAACATAAAGTCTCTCACCTCTTGTGGACTCATCGTCAATTGGCTGTTTGAACAGGGTGATGTCTCTGAAGGTGCAGAGGAAAAGCACCACCTTGTCATTTTCATTTCTGATTGGAGCTATCTGCATGTAAAGCCATATTGGTGTTTCTGTGGGAAGCAATCAAAAAACAAAAAGTAAATGACCAGATATCACTTCTAATCGTGCGTTTCTTTTTCTTTTTTTAACATTTATTCCTTAATTCATTTTATTTTTGTTTTTTGTTAAAATCTTGCAATTCAAATTTACAGTACTTACTATTCTTTGTATACAGCAGCACCTCATAGAAATTAGACTCATAGCTGTCAAATGTTTGTTTGATTTTGTCTATCGTATTTTTATCAGTCAGATCACCATACATGAAACTGCAAAATAAGACAAAGAGGGAAGAAAACATAGTGAAATGTGAATAACAGATTATGAGTTTCCATAATGTAAGGTTTATATATATGTTTTTTTTATACTTCAGGTTTGACTATTTCCAGGTATTTAGATTAGTTCCCCTTTTGATAAATAAAAAGTGGAGATTCAATATATAAAAAAAAAAACACACTAAAATTGTGGATTAAAGCTTCCAGTCAAGCACCAGAAAGAAAGGTGCTGCGTGCTTGAAGAGCATCTTACTTGCATGTGCTGCTCTTGTGCATCACATCTGCTCTGTGGTATCCAGACAGCTTGCAGAATCCATCATTGCTGTAAACGACTGGCCACTCCAGGACCTGTGCATTTCCCAACAGGAAGCTTGTTTCTGAGACAAAATACAGGAAATTTTAAACACCAAATTACAAATAAAGAAAACATATGTAATAAAACATATACCTTTTATTATTTATCAAATCGCCATACATTATTAAATCACCATAATGCAAGTTTATATTTACTACTGCATATAATGGAAACAAGATGCAAAAGTCATCCACATTTGTCTACCAGATGAGACGGAGAAAAGAAAAGCTGTTTAGGTTCCACTCATAATGCGAATCAAATATTGATGAAGAGCTGAAAACTTCTTCCACTTTACTGCAGTTTCAGAGCAGTCTGCAGTCTTCAGACAAAAGGGTGACTGAAATTCTTCCAAATTAAATTGCACACTTGAACTTACTGTACATGTTGTTCATTCTGCGGGCTTTTGTGGTCAGACATTCAGACAATAGAGACTGGATTTCAGATAACCACCACATTACTGAGGTGAAGAGTAAAGTTTACAGACACTGAATCAATGTTGCACCCCTCCATCTACGTTTGTAAGAAAAGCCTCTGGGTCTCATGAGAATAATGTCTGATTGCCTGCTGTGCACATAGTACTTTAAATATTTATGCCAGTAGTACAGTTACTGGCTGTTTTGCTGACATGCATTTCCTTTCTGGAACATAAAAAAGGTATACAGCAAAACTGCGCTCTACTCTCTGGTATTTGTAGCTAAGAGATAAAGTGCTATAAATCAAATTATACATCCCTGAAAAGAACATTAAGACCTTTAGGATTGGCTGCAAATCCAGTTCTTGTAAAAATGAGACTATATGTTCTCACATTAGCAGAACTTTACTCCTTAATACCACTGAACAAACACCATGCATCAAATCTGGAGCTGCAGATGGCCTAGATTTCATTCGTTTATGAACTTTAGCTTCTGCAACAATGCGCATAAATAAGGAACAACCTCACAAATCCTCAAACAAATGCTTTAAAACCCTCATATTGTGATAATCATAATATATGGTGGTGTAAAATTGCACTCATCACATAAATAATAATCTTTACTCTTACTTGATAAGTAAGACAAATAATTAGTGTTTTCCTAATTTTTTTTCTAGAGCTAATTTAAAAAGCCTCCCATAAGAGCAAACTATAATTTAGATTTTTCATTATTTATCCACATAATTCGGATAATGTGACTGTTTTTTGTTTTCTATATCAGAAGAAATGTGTCAGTCAACTTTCAGGTAAAAAAAATTGCTACTTAAAAGAAAAAAAATCAGCGATTGCTGATTCTGCTTCCCAGCAAATGGCACAAAAATAACACACGTCGGTATACTTCAGCATCCCAGTCCTGTGTGGTTCCCTGGCTGAGAAATAAAATCGGAAGCATCACTTATTTCTGTTTCCATTGCAGAGTCAAACTCACCGCTGGACCGCCGGACTATATTCTCCAGGAAAGTGTTCTGCGGAGCCACCAACCCTCTCTTGCCCCCATGCATTATGGAGGTTTCAGGTCAGAGACTCGGTGCTGCTCGGTGGTCGTGCTGGTACTAACTGACCCTTCTCCGTTGTCTGCCCGGCGGGAGCCTGGTCCACCGGAGTCAAGATCGCTACGATGGAGCTCTGTGTATCCGGACTGAGGCTTCAAAAATAAAAGCCTCTTTGTAATCATATGGAGCTGGGCCAGATTTGGAGCTGGTTGGGTGCACAAAGTCAATTGTAATTAATATCCACCGATGCTTACACTGTAGCCACACTAATCTACACTGGCCCAACACTGGACTAACTGTTAGTTCTTGATAAAACAAACTTTTATTTTTAAGGTCTTTTTCTAGAGTATTGCTGGTATTATTGTCTCAGGTTTCCACTTTATACATAACTCCGTCCAGACGCACGAGCTGGCCTGAAATGTCTGATTTCTTTCCGCATTAATTTAAATGCTGGGGTTGGACGCGTATTTGTATTTAAAATACGTGTTAAAATATGGGGTTTTATATTTTTTCTTTTTAATACTCAGAAAACGTGCATGATGATGAAACATCTGATATCAGGAATTTGTTCAAGTATAATTCAAACAGGTCATCCTTTCATGGGTTTATTAGGAAGCTGGAGGAAAATACAGTTATATCGATACATGAATGTGCAAAAGTCTTCATTTCTTTACATTTTGCTTCCAAGGAGCCAGGCTTTTTTTTTGTTATATTTTTAGTCAAAAGCAATAATTCTCCAGGCTTTAAAATAGAATAGTAATTAATCCAAATGTGAAATTATTGGCTCAAATCATTGACAGTATGTATAAAAGTTAGGACAGAGACACAACAGTGAGTGTCTACAGTCATCTTTAAAACACGGTGACGGCTTTGTCATGAGTGGGGGCAGCATTTCATCCAGCAGTGTTGGAGATTTTTATCAACAATAATGGAATTATGAATGCAGAAAAATAATTTCATATTATGATCCAAATCCCAATGCTATGTGGACAGCACCTGACTTGCAAGAGCCTTTTTCAACATGACTATGAACCCCAAAACACTGACAGTACAATAATGACATAGCTGGAGAGAAAAAACATTTAATGGATCACCATCAGTCATGGATTGGCCTTCCCAAAGCCTGAACCTCAACTTATTAAAGCAGTGTGGGATCATCTTGACAGACAACAAAACAAAAGGCAGTCAACATCCAAAGAAGAGCTTTAATAGTCCCTCAAGAAGCCTGGAGAACTATTCCCGAAGACAACTTAAAACTTGCAAGAGTTCAGGCTGTGTTGATGAATAAATGTGGTCATACCAAAAAATTATTTTAGAGCTCATTAGAACTCTATTTTTGCCTCATACACAGTATTTGCACATGTTTCAATAAATGAATGTTTCTTTTTTGTGTATCAGTTTCTTAAGCTATTCAAATCTATTCATACCTACAATGAATCTCTGACAGGTGTGTGTCAATAAATATTTGATATAAGCTAGTGCTATGCAAAGAACGCAAAAAACAACATGTAGTAGTGTGATCTAACCTAACCAAACTACAGAGGAAGTGTCTTAATGTATCTCTTTAATCAGTCATCATCAGACGGGATGCCTCACATCATCATCGTCTTGCAGTAATTGAATCATGTGTAATGTGCAACATGTTCAGCAGGGGGTGCTAGCTGAACATGTGCATTGGCCTGACAACATTAAATCAGACGAAGAAGAATCCTAGCAAAACGAGGAATAACGGCCTGACGCAGTTAGTTGTTGTTTGTATGAGTTCGCGTTACATACGCTGCGAAGTAATGGTTAACTGTCACGGACTTTGTATGCTCGGGGCCAGAGTTTCCATGCTGTCATTCAAGGTCGGTGCTTTGGTTGCAGGTAGCAGATAGAGGCGTTCCTAGCCGCTCTGCTAGCTCGGTTTGTGGTATTTTGTTTGAGAGGAATGCAACGGCCGCCGAGCTGCACTTCTGTCTAGCTTCCTGGATAATGAACTCCGCTTTTTATGACTAAATAGAGTTAACCCCTGTTTGCTAACTGATATAAATTATTTTAAAATATGGCGAATTTTGTAAAGACGTTTGTGCAGATATGTAATTATCTTCAGGACCCAGAACTTGTAGCAAGGTTTCAACATTTCTGCGGCGTTGAAGGAACATTTCCGGATGCACCGAAAGCACCGGAGAGCGGGGTGTCTGAGCCGGACCGTCCTGGGCTGAGGAAGCGGGTCCAGCAAGGTGCACAGAGCTCAGATGCAGGTGTTGGAAATGGAGCAGCTGGAGATGGTCCCACGCCGCAAGTTAACGGGATGCTGGGAGACGACACCACCGGGCCCGATAGCTCATCAGCAGCAGCAGCAGACTCAGAAACCACTATAGCAAAACCCCTCCGGAGGAACTCACTGACCGGAGATACTGGTCAGGAGTTCCTGATCCACAACAAGTTTCTGTTCTACCTGTTCACGTTTGGCACTGAGCTGGGCAACGAGATGTTCTTCATCATCTTCTTCCCCTTCGTCTTATGGAACATCGACGCCCTGGTCAGCCGGAGACTCATCGTGGTCTGGGCCTGGAACCTGTTCGTGGGACAGTCCACCAAGGACATGATCCGCTGGTCCCGACCGGCCTCTCCTCCTGTGGTAAAGGTGGAGGTCTTCTACAATTCCGAGTACAGCATGCCATCCACGCACGCCATGACGGGCACGGCCCTGCCTTTCTGTCTCTTCATGCTGACCTACGGACGGTGGCAGGTGAGCATATGTACACAGTCCAGGGGCTTTAATCGGATTTAAAAAGTGTAATAAATATATAGCTAGACAGACCCCAGAAGGAAAAAAAACAACAACTAAATTACAGTGTCCAGTAAAAGTTTTTTCCCGCTGACGTCTAGGCGACTAGATCAGAGCTTCACTGGCTCAGTTTGTCTGTAGCAGCAGTTTGATATTTTACTATTATAAGATATGCAATTTAAAAAAAAAAACAACAACAACAAAAAAAACCTTTTTGTTTGATTTATTAGTTTGACAGTGGACACAACCCCAAAGGGGATCTTTGTCTCCAGCGGGGGTATTTTCTGTCCCAGAATGGACAGTTAGGGAGTTGAATGTTTCATTGTGCATGGTGGTCAGCATGATCAATCCAAATAAAACTATGATTACTGTAGTTAAAGTTGTAGAGAGACTCCAGTACTCTCCGACTGTGTGAAAAACAGAGATCCCACTTGTCCCAGTTTCATAGCCGAGTGTTCAAGGCACAATCCACACAATGGCTTTCCTCTGGACAGGAACAGGCCTGAACAGGATGCATATGCTTTGTATATGCACACTGTTACACCCCTGGAGTTTGAATCCCCAGTGTTGCTTTATGTTTTTACTACAAAGTGCTATTTGATACATCTGCTGGTCCTGCAAAGTGGATCATCCTTTAAAATTATAATCATCTTTCAGAAAACTGAAATAGTAGGCGAGATTTCTATAGCTTATCAGAATTTATCATTTAAGACCAACACATAAGTCTGTATTCTGTTAAGGGGGAAATTATTGTTCAGCTATGGCAGCCTGTAAATAGTCCGTTGGCAGTTTTTTGGACTGCCTGTCTCTCTGCTGAAGAGTGTTTCTTGTCAGATTGGGCAGTGTAAAAAATATGTGGTGCAACCGGTCTTAGGGCTACTCATGTTTGTGTTGTTGTCGGTCCACTAGCCAGCCGTGGAGAAGATTGAAGCTATAACATACAAAGAGCTGAAGTGAAACTAAATATTAAAAACAATTTTAAAAATGTCCACTGCAGCCACTGCCTGTATGTTTTATACTGTATTTTTGTTTTCTTTGATGCTTTTTTCACACTTCTCACATTCCTGGTGAACTCTGAATTCAGCACAGGGTCATCAACACTGATCACTGTGCAGTTGGGATTTTGGAGGACTGTACAAAAGGATGTTTGCATTTGCAGGAGCACTAGATGTTACTTTCAGCTGTATAGCAGAGGCTTAGAATAGACTTTTGTGATATGACTGCACACAGGTGACTGCTTGTTTAATCTGCATATATTCAAGGACATGAGTCTGTGTTGACTTAAAAAAAAAGTTAATATATTTTCCTGTTATTTTATTTGGCCATTTGATAAACAAAAATGAATTTTAATCCAGTACAGGCCGCTTATGAAACCTTGTTGTAAATTGCACTTTTAATGATTTTACTTTGCAAAGGCAACAATTTTATTTTTGGTTGCTCAAATATAAAATATGCTGGATATGCAAGAGAAATACTGCGTAAGCATGCCTTTTAGCAGTTTCAGTTCTTTTTTTTTTGTGTCACTTGGTGAACTTTTTATTTTGTGATATTTCAGCCATAAATATGATTTCTAAAGGTTGCAGAGGCTCATTTTGGAATATTTTGACAGCATCTGTCAAATACTAGCTTGCTTTACTTTTACTGCGATCTCAATACAAAGCTTTTCCAATTGTTATGCTACTCAGTGAAACATGCTGTCTTCAGAAATGATTTGTAAATGTGAAATTCCAGGTCAAGGCATGCTCTTTGAACACCATTGTAAATGCTTTTCTTCTTCATGTTGCCTTAGATTTCAAAGGTCTAGCTTTAACACAGGATATGAGGACACTTTGATAACTCACGGCACAGGTGGGCAGAGGTGCCAAGTTCATAGGTAGGGTCCAAATGTTTTCTTTTTTGTTTAGTTTTTTTCTTTTCATGTAAACTTGACATTGAAAAGCGCAAACCAACAGAAAGCCCAGCATACACTATTTTGTGCAGGGCCCCTCTGTGTCAAAGAGCCGGCCAATCCGACTAAAGGACTACCATTTAAATCCCAGTTAGTCTTCAGTGACCAGTCTTTAATGAAGAACAGCACAGCTTAGATCAAATCGTAACAAAAGCTGTAATATATCAAGCTTATGCTTTGATTTGTGCCCCTAACAAGACATTAAAGAAGTGGACTGACAGCTGGATTACAGAGGTTCACATAAGGAGAAAGAACCAAGCTGTGTTTTGTTTTTATTTAAATGAACAGTATCACAATATCAGAGCAAGAGCAGGAAGCAATGCGCTTTGGGAGGAGAAAGTGTCAAAGGTATCCATTGATTGAGTCGGTTTTCTAGGAAAGTGGGCGGGGAAGTCCAGTTCGACCAGATCGAAGAACACAAAACATTTTTTTTTTCCAGCCTTCATGCTCCAAACAAAAGCGATCCACTGCCTGCATAGTCAGTAAAATGGTTTGAACTTAAAACGCATCAATAAATACAGATAAACATGTGTCTAAAGCTGTGAATGGGTTATATTGAGTGATGAGAACTTTTAATCAATAAATGACCAAAAAAAGAAATGTACTCTGTCCCAAAATAGAGGTGGCAACAACTCTTAAATGCAACTTTGAGTAGTGAATTCATCATAAAACTACAGTTAATGCTTACCTAATCTTTTTTTTTTTGATTTGAAAGACCTCATTTTTTCACACCTGTCTTTCATTTGCCTCACTATGTTTTCCTTCACAGTGGTACAGTAAAACAAGCCTAAGTACACGAAACAAAGATAACAGGGGTCCATTATATGTCTCTTCTTAAACTGTTATTTCTATTTTGTGGACACAGCAGAGACAAAAACAGGAGCTGCCTAAGAATTTGGCCTGTGTCGTTTCTTTGAGCAATGGCGGAGACAAAAGTAAGGAACAGAGAGGGAGAGGATATAAAAGGGGGGTTTGTGCCGAGAGATAAAAAGGATGGAAAGAGAGAGAAAGGAAGGTCAGCACCAGGGAGGAAGCGCTCAGTACCTGATTAAGTGTGTGTTGATGGTACACCTGCAACCAGGCCTTGAACTGAATAAATGTAGCTCTCTGAACTGCATGAACCTTCTTCCGTGTTAAGTTGCTGCAGTGTCAGGACTTCAGAGGAAGAGGTGAAAAATTTCAGAGAAGAAGGTTACAAAAGGTTTCAAAAGATAAGATATACGCCATAAAAAGCTGTCATAGTATGGCGGGAGGGTTATCTAAATATATAGATGACAATTTGGCTGATAGCCAGTGCGGCTATTTGGTTTTAATTTTTTTTTTTTTTGGTGTTATTTATTATCCGTTTTGTGCCAGAGGTTTTATGAAAATAACCCAGCTGGTGTAAAGACTTCCAGCTTTTCTTTGCACTATTTTTAAATCTTTAGCCAAAGCTAATATGGAACAAGAGATAATCATTGGCCACTGCCATTGGTAAATGGCTTCTTATTTGCTGATAGGCTGAGAGCCATCTCCGAGGCCAATATTTGCTAGAATTGATTGTTGGTTTTTCGGTCAGTCCAACTGATTGGTTCAGAGGATGAAGCAGCTAATTTATTTATTTTTTCATCTTGCACCACGGTGAAGCTGACATTTGTGGTTCTGAATTAAATATCTCAACAACTTTTTCCAGGAAATCTGTAACTCTTTCACGTCCACCCACGATAAATATTGATCAAACTTAACTCGAATTTTCGCACACGGATAAAATCAGGTCGTAGTTTACTCTACCAATAGTTCAGTTTGCATTTAGTTTACACAAGTAATGCCATTCTCAACTGATAGTCGTGTCATGTTACTCAGGAAACGCTGAGTAAGGTGCTAATCATGGTAAACGGATGTCTCAACATTGCTGCAATTGTGAGCATGCTGATGTTAGCATTCAGCTTTTGATGCACTACTGTGACAAAGGGCAGACTAATGGAGACTCAGAGTTGTTTTCACAACACGTTTTCAGTGACCCTTGCATCAGTTTCAAATACAATATGCTTTAGGTTGCTGATCACAGCAGTTTTTAAAGCTGTGATTTCCACTGATGGTGAACATCCTGGGTAGCTTGGCTTTGTTCCAATTACGACATCTTCTCAGCTTTTTTAATGCATTCTCTGTTTTCTCTTATAGTATCCTTTCCTCTTGGGCTTCTGTGTGGCTCTCAGCTGGAGTGTCCTGGTCTGTGTAAGCCGAGTCTACATGGGGATGCACTCCGTTCTGGTAAGCAGCTGCAGTTTTTAACCTGAAATTAAATGTTCTCAGTGGTGATCCTCATTCAGCATCTTTTACTTCCATTATGGCCTGCAGGCATTTGCCTTCTTATCCTATAGTCTTAGTGTAGCCTCAATATGAAACTTTGGTAAGGCAAAATGCATTTCTGAGAACTTCCACTGTCACGATACCTGCTGCGAGTGGCGTGCATATCTCAGATATCACTTGCATGCATACTTAAAACTACTTTCGGTCCAACTGTTGCAGTGAGAGGAGCTGTCAGATGACTTTTAGTTGAAAACAAAGCATTATTTTTCCAATTGTTAGTATCAAATTCAGTTTTTTTCTGATTACGATGAAGTTGAAGTTGACATTTATAATTCATGGAACATGATGTTAACAGAGCCAATAAACAAATTAAAGCGCTGAGATTAGATTAGATACTGTGACCTGCAAACCTGTGACCTGGTAGCAGCTCTATGGAGATACTGCTTCTTCCAATGGTAACACCTGCTCATCTGTCAGCACCTCACCTGATCCTAACTGGACTTTTTTATGACTGTGGAGTAATCTGCAACTTAAAGGACATGTTTCATGGAGGAAAGTGTAATTGTAGCACCTCCTACAGGACAGGTAGCAGCAAAGCATTTTTTTTATTTGGTTGTTTATTGGATGTGTGTACTACTGTTACTTAAAAAAAAAAAAAAAGTTAAATTGTTATTAAACATATATCATCAGCCCTAAATATGCTTTGTCAGCACTCTGTCTTTCCTTAAATGCTACCGAAACTGTCTTGCTGCTTTACAATGATTTATGTCCCTGTGTTTCAGGAGGTAATCACTGGCTTCCTGTACACCCTCCTTATTCTCGCCTTTTTCCAACCAATTCTGGGAAAGATTGACAACTACTACATGATGGGCAGCTACGCTCCACTTATGATTGTCATATCACATGTGGGCTTCGGACTTGTGGCTTTCTCTCTGGATTCGTGGAGCACCTCTCGGGGCGATACAGCTCAAGCTCTGGGCACTGGGGCAGGAGCTGCTTTAGCTTCCCACGTGAACTATCAGCTGGGCCTCCAGCTGGATCCTCCACTGTCATCGCTTCCTCTAACATTGCCATCACTCAGCGTTAGCTTGGTGTTGCGCTCCATGCTACGCTTCTTCATCGGAGTCGCCGTACTCCTCGTCACGAGGATGATTATGAAAGCAGTGACTATTCCTTTCTTATGCCGACTATTTGGGCTGCCCATGGACGATGTAAGACGGGCGAGACAGCAAATGAAAGTGGAGCTGCCGTATCGTTACATCGTCTACAGTGTTGTGGGTTTTAGTTGTGCGTGCTTTGTGCCTCTCCTCTTTAAGATCTTAGGTCTTGCCTAACTGTTGTGTGCAAACTGCCATGTCCTGTTGATATGGTGAACATGCTGCTTGTTTTGACACAAGGGAAGGCTCTGTTTCTGCATGATTAAGGGCATTTTAAAGGATAAGTCCTATGGTATTATGTGTTTCCATTATCGTTAAATCCCATCAAAAGACTAGAATCAGTAATGAATCGATTGACAGTGCGGTGTGTATCCAGCCAGAGGGGTGTACTACAAAGTCATATTAATGGTTTAAAGTGCTGTGTCGAGCAGCTGAAAGTTTCAGAGGGCTCACTCGGCACTAAAATGATTAACTTGAATTAAAATGTTTATTTTATGGCTCTGGGATAAATCCCAAGATTAATCATTTTCTGCAGCATTAATCTCTTGTCATTTATGTTATCTTCATGCATCACCAATTTATCATCTGATAACATCTCTGATCGACTAGGCAACAGACACAGGGAACCTTTTGTGCAGAAGAAGAAGAGTCACGTGACCTGTGAAATGCCCTCTTTGTTAGCACTCAGAAAACCTTGCCTAACAGAGAACGATAAGAACCACTGTTGTCATATCTGTTATCTCCAATTGTGGTTTTAGGTTTTGTTGAGCCAGCAGAGACAAAGAAAGCCTGGCTATGGGGAAATTTGTTTGTACTACACCCCTCAGCTGTGACGTTTCATTACCATGAGAACAACAGCTCACGTATGCAGTCATGCTGATACAGACAAAACCACAAGTATTAATTATTTATGAATAATTACTTGCTAAAAACTGCAAAACCCACTGGCTTAAGTTTATGAGCTGACAGCCATGCTCTGGAGGAGTTTAAAAGTAATGTGACTTTTGGTTTTGATCTTTTTGGGGGATTTGTTGAATTATTAAATGGATGGGATATCACCTGCCTTATCCTTTAAGATCCACCTGTGGTCAACATATTTAAGTGTTAACTGGAGCTACTTAAATATAAAGTACTGTAATGATGCTCATATTCATCATTGTGGAATCTATTGTTCAAATGTAACTTTTTTTTGTTTTTGGAGAGTTTGACTCTTTGAAATTAAACCAAAATATGAATCTGTAAATCAAAGCGATGAAAAATACTGTAAGTATTTAAGCTTCCAGGCGTCAGGACATTTAATGATCTGTATGTAAATACGGAGGGCTCTTTACCTTTTAGTGGGTCGTATATGTCATCACTATTTTTCTACATTTCCATATTCAGCGTTGTCCTGTGTAACTTTGGCCCAAATTTAGATTAAGTCGATTGATAGTAGAGAATTAATGAAAAACAATATTTTTGATAAATTATTTTATCATTGTATTTGATGAATGGTTGTATTGGGAAACAAAGGAATATATTATTCATACTTTATTGCTCTGAATGCCAGAGACGTTTCAGTTCTCCTTACTCTCGCAGTCTGCAAAACCTTAGACCCTAAAAGTTGTCTGATTGTTGTAACTGTTTGTAATTTCTTGTGTTGTTTTAATAATCAGTCCGAATATCAATGCCCGACTTATATCAGAACATGTAGGGATATTTATAGATCTGCTATTTCCATCAGGTCTCTCATTTTTTTTCTCTCTCTTGTTGTCTGATACCTGTGTGCATTTAAAATATTTGGAGACAATAAAAAATAAAATATTTTAAAAAGAAAAAAAGAGTATTTTATTTTGTTGTATTATAAATAAATTCAGGTGAAGCCACTCACAATATAGATGGGAGACCTGTCCACAATGTACCCCATCTCTCACCCAGTGATGGCCACAACATGGATCTGGATAAGCGGTTAAGAAAATTGATGGAAACCATTTAGTGCATCTGGGATTTTTATGCTAGTGTGTTGTGTTTTTTAATATTGTAAATATTGTGGCCAAATGGACAAAAAAGAAGAAGACATATAAACTTAGGGACTGTAAAATCTTAGATTTCTGTTGAAATTACTTTGAAGGCTCTCAAGACATCAACTCTCAGGAAAAATAGAAGAATTTCATCAAATGTGACTCTTAACTTGTCATTCCACAATGGAAGCAATTTGTTTTTTGCCATATTACAGTTATTTCATAATTAAATATTATTCCAGAAACATTAGAATTTTTCAGTTGCTTCTATGTTTATATAGTTAAATTATTTTAAAGACTGACTAGCAGCTACATATTTTTATTTTCTTTATTTTTCTTTCTCTGTTTTTTTTTTTTTTTTTTTTTAATTTTTCTATTCACCTGAGATGGTAGTGGAAAAGCCTTTATATATGATTGTACATTATCTTTTAATTGTACATTACCTCTTATTCAGCAAAAAGTGAATCTAAAAAACCTAAAGCAGGATGGAGTGTGATTAGGCTTTATTCCCACCTAGGTGTCCCTGTGAAGTATTTTTTGCTTTTTTCCAGGAATAAATGTTTTGAACATCTCAAATTGGCGCTTGATACTTTTTAAAATAAAAAATAAATAGACTAATTATATAGTGCACGTGCACTCGTGTAGAATCGCTTTCAAATTTTTAAAAATTCCGCCTAAAAGCTATTTGAGCTTTTATTTTGAAAACTGCTGGTCACCTGATAACCCGGAAGTCCGTAGTTTGACAGTTACCGTCCAAAACATTTTTTCCTCTACTCCTGTGGTTCACAGTGGAGCAGCAGGATAGCAGGATTTATTACATTAAGGTTATATGACGTGTTGGCTAACTAATGTAGCCGTGACAGCAGTAAGTGAGGTAGTTATTTTAGAGATTTTTCGTTGAATTTTGTTTCCAACTTTCTTCGCTAACAGTTAAAAGTTTTCCTGTTGCTAATCTTAGTTTACCTTGACCTGCCGGCTGGATCGGCTTTTATGACACACGAACAACTTATGTGAAGTTTTGTGTACATAAGCAAGTCATCTGCCGCCCGCGCACATGCCTCGTTTGGAAAAGACAAATCTCCGAGGCAGGGACAGGTAGGAACCTTTTCTGCACTCACTCTTTGGGTTTTAAGGTGGTGCTGGGGAATGAGGAGTGAAGGTCATTCAAAATATCTTGTAATTTCCACTCTTTCTCTGTCTGTTCACACAAATCAGGCCACAGTTAGACTGGAGGTTTGTGCAGAGGTTCTGCAGCATCCAGAAGGTCTTGTTCCCATCATGGACCAGTCAGAGTGTCCTGATGTTTGGGACGCTGCTGGGCGTTACTCTGGCAGGTAACAGCTGGAGGAGTGTAATAGAACAAAAAGAGGAGGAAACTGTAAACTTAGACTGTGGTCTAACTTTGAGGAACTTCTGATAGCATCAGAAAGCTTGCATTGACTGCAGTCAAATGAGCCCTGACCACAGGAGGCTTTGTCTCTTTCTTGATGACCTTTAGCTAATCATTTTGCTCTTTTATGAGTCACTGTTTGAACTGACTCCTTCCTCATGATACAATGTGCTAACACGTGTTTTTCTGTCATCAGAGCAGCTGATCATTTACCAGGTGGGAGTCCTCCCCAGCCACTTCTACAATGTGCTGGCAGACAAAAATTACTCAGGCTTCAGGAGTCTGGTGGGCACTGCCATGGTGCTCATTTTATTCAACTCCACAGTAAGTTAAAGTAGCAGAGGAACGACAGAAGTCAACATAAACATACTAACACAGTAGCATTTATCCTGCAAAGCAAATAAGATTAACACCCTACAGACACGCTGTCTCACGCGTGTCCAGTATTTCTGTTTATGCTTTCTTGGGCGAGTCGCCCCTGAAAAAAAATTATTTTTAATTTTATTGAGACACATACCTGGTCAAATTAAAGCTATAGTAGAAACCCATCTCATATTGATTGGTATAGGTGTAGTCATTTAAATCATTTATATGATAATTTAATTGCTGTTCATACATTTGGAAATAATGTTAATTTTCTGCAGCTTTCTTTTACTACTGTATATTTTACTAATATGTGTATTTATGGTTTTTTTGTATTTATAGTGTATTGTGATTTTAGCTTGACAAGGGCTGGAAATTAACAATAGGTGTAAACTCTGTGTGCAGCATATCAGTTTCACGCACTGTATCAGAAGTATGTCAAACTGCATTTTCCCTTTTAAACGCTTAAATGAAATATGTAGATTTAAGGATTTAAGGAAACAGAAATAGCTGCTTTTAGCTGCTCCCCTATTCGCAAGGGGTCACCGCAGTGGTAGCTCTGTGTTTGATTTGGCGCCGTTTTTATGCCGGATGCACTTCCTGAAGCAAGCCTAAAGGGATTTGTTTCTCCTCTTGGGATCGAATTAATTAACGCGAGTCGTGCAGGTTTGGTTTGTGAAATATACAGTTTTTATAAGATTAACACTAAGTCTCTGCAACTGCATATACTTTATTTATCAGAACCTGTTTAGTAGTGTACATTATCTGTTACATTCAGATGCGCATTTCAAATACCTAAGTCAAAAGTTTGATAAATAGTTTCTTATGTTTTACTGCATGGCATCACACCTTTGGATTGATGCTGTAACAGTAGCAACTTTATATGGTCAGGACAACCTGACATGACCATTTTATAGCCGCATGCATTTGGTCTTGATTGTGTTTGCTTGGATTTTGAACCTAAGAAACTAACTTTAGTCAGCTTATTTAAGCATGTTGCTTTTTAAAGGAACTTCTGTGGCAGGTCTTTCCTGATCTATAACATCTTTATTTAAGTTATTGTCACTTATTGTTACTTTTCCTCTCTCCCCTTCTTTGTTGTTCCCCTCCCATGCAGTTGAAAAGTATTGACCAGTACATTTGCAATCAGATGTATGTCAGCTGGAGGAAGACGCTAACAGAGAGCCTCCATTCAGCCTACTTCCAGGGAAGAGTCTACTACACGCTCAACGTGCTCAGAGAGGACATAGACAACCCGTAAGCATGAATGCATTTCCTGGTTGGTGTATTGTTATGCATGAAAATGTTTTGCTGTCATTGTCTAATTGCGTTGTTGTGGGCAGAGACCAGCGGATCAGTCAGGATGCAGAGAGGTTGTGTAAGCAGATGAGCAGCATGGCGAGTCGCCTGATCATCTCACCATTCACCCTGACTTACTACACCTACCACTGCTTTCACAGGTGAGCACGTTGTGCTGTATGATCAACCCCATCACACACTGTGGTAGAGATCATTCAGCTATGTCGGGGTGCCACAGTTTTACAGCCACGTTTCTGAATATCTGTCCTTTAGAGAGGCCCAGAGTACATAAAACAAGGGATGGAATTAGAAAGTTAGAAGAATAAATACCTGTTATATGTAATTTAAAGCATTACATGTGCTCTACAAAAGGTCTGCTGCAACTTTGACCTTATTAAAATTCAGGCTAAATTGGGGCTTCTTGTTAACCCCTAAGCTCTGTTTGACATTTCCAGCTGGAAAAAAAGAACAACCTTAAATTTAGTAACAGGCTGCAAAACAGTGAGGGCAAAAGAACAACCTCTACTATGGATGGGAAGCATATTCTGACATACAATAAACCTTCTTGTCCTTATCATCAGACTGCAGTAAGATTTGGAAAAAATGACTCTGTTTGCTTCCACTTTATCAAAAACTGTCAGTTAGAGAGAAGATAACAGCCTTGTAAAAATAACAGACCCCTTTAACCCTTTCTAAAAAATCCTGCGCTCAACAAATTCTACATC